TGTCCGTGTTTCCCTGTCCCTGGGCATTGCCTCTCCTAAATTTTAAAATTATGTCAGTCCTAATTTTTGCTGCTTGATACTCCTCTAAATCCTAAAATTTTTGCAGCTTCTAAATTCTGACACCCTACATGGCTGCACCAGTTGCACTTGCTGTGGCACCAGCTCTGTATGTAAGGGGATAGCATTTTTCTGTCTGGTCTAAAAACATATGTGAAGTTTCAGTGTTTCCATGACTGTGTATCACATTACTAGATTAAAACTTATGGTCTAAAATTTGGAATCGCCAAAGTTCTAATGATTCTGGTTCTCGGACTTTATAATATAAAAATTCGAAGCATGTTGAAACCTTTGATACTTTTGTCAATATACTGGCTTACAGCAGCAGTTATTTTCCACTGATGTTACCAGTACCTTAGAGACTCCCATTTAGGGCCTGAACTTTGTAAAATCTGCAATTAAATATATCCTCTGAGGTGAATTTGTCGGGAAAGAAGTTGAAAGCACTTTCTTTCTTGAAAACAGACCAGAGGCTTGGGAAATGATCAGGTGGGTTTCTTTGACAAATCCTGAGATAAGGGGATTATTTCCAAACTATATACAATGATCACTCAAAATGCTTATAAGAGTACATTCTATATGATGGAGAGGAGAGAACCTTTCAGAATCCAGCACACAGAATATCAACTGTTCTCCCTTTTCCCAGTTATAGGAATAACAACATAAAATATATGAACTTAGAAACATTGTACAGCTAAACACTGGGCCAGGAAACACATAATTTCACTTTACTTATATACGTGAAAATAATATTAAATACATTTTCTAGTTAACAGGCTACTAATAATATTGAGAAAGTTTATCTTTATTTTAGCAGTCATTATTTTTAACTAGTTTTTAGTCGTGTTGTTTAAAGGTGAAGACGAGATTCTTTCAAATAAAGTTCAAAATAAAGAGAGGCTGGAGGGGATTAGTAGCAATGACAACTCTTAGCCTATGAAGTGAATTATCAAGTGCTAGGTAAATTTGATTGAAAATGTTTGATAAATTTGCTCACTACATGTGCATTTTATTTCAAATCTTTGTGACATCTGACTGAACAGATCATAAGGAAAGTTCAGATAATCAAGCATGTTTTGCATTATGAGAGTCAAATAACCTTTTCTTATTACACTAAAAATATTACAACATTTTTTTTGTTATATTTATTGCATTGCCATTATGATCTAATTGTGCTACATTTATTTGAAAATTTCAGAAGTTAGCTATTAATTTTATGTTCTTGTGCTGTATTATCGTTTAAGCATTTTCATTTGCCTCTAGAATGTATTTTAAAGATTTTTTGCTACATATGTGTTAACAGGTCAAGAGTGGTTTACCTACTTTTATACAATTTTTCTTTATTTTGGGTGAAAAATGTTTAGCAATCAAGGTTTTTTACCCTGAGCTACAACCTGTCACATGAATCTAAAATTGTGTCTTGCTATGGCAGCTTTGCTGTGCACGCTTGAATTGATTCAAATAAAACTTCATTTCATGCAAATTGTAACAATAACATTTATTTGGCAATATATTATGCTCTCGTAAGAAATTGATGAAGTCAAATGCTGAAAATCAGCCAAACTGAAATCTGTGTAACTTCTCATAACAGAAACATTCAGTTTACAGGTTCAGAACTACAACATAGAGAATGAAATACTGAAACATTGAGAAATACTTACCAAATAAGGATGTTATGATGGAAATAGTAACCAAATCATAGGTAAAAGTTTTTTTTTTTTTTTTTTTCCTTCACTGCATCAAGGTAAAGAAATAGACAACTTCGCTTAACTTCTCTTTCAAGTTCACGGCTCAGGTGGTTGTATTTCCTGAGCTTTGTTATTTCACAAGATTCTTATGTGCTGCCATTTCGTTGTTTGATCCTGATTTATTGTAGATAAAATAAAAGGTATTTTTAATTTCAGCAGATAAACATGCTACAGATGTATTTATTGATGAATTTTCTATGCTGATGGCAAAAGAAAGTCTTAACTCAGAACAAGTTTTTGATACGAATGAGATTGGACTTTTGTGGTGATGTTTGCCAATTTGTGATAAGCACACCAATCCTAGAGCCTTGAAAGAAGAAAAAATGATATTTGGGATTTACAAGAATAATAAAAATTCCTGGTTCACGAAACAACTTATGTCTGAATAGTTCATAGAACATTTTGTTAAAGAGATTAAAAAGCATTGTATCAGTGTGAAGTTACCACCAAACTGCAAGATTTTATGAATGTTAGACAACTGCTCTGCACATCCAGATGCAACCATTTTTTGTGTTTTTGTCCATAATGCCATTGCCCATGTTTTGTCCCCAAATACTACACCATTGATCCAACCAGTGAACCAGGGCGTGATACACAGTATTAAATGTCACTACAAATTGAAATTTCTGAAAGAATTTCTTTCAGACCATTTTGTTTCACTTTTTGATTATTAAAAAAAAAATTGGTACTGTTCTGTTATTGGGACCGAATTCAGAAATGTATGATTGTCTGCATATGAGTATGTATGCATGTGCATATATAAGCTGATACACACATATTACATTCATATTTACATATATACAAGGAACCCAAAAAGTTCTTGCCATTTCTGATATGGCATTAGAAGAGTGAACCCCAACATAAAAATAGTTGCCGAACCTGGTGATGAAGTGGTTATGATGGAAAACTGGATATTGACCAAGAGTATAAAAGCGCATTGCATCAGTACTTCAAACACAACTTACACAGCAACTGATTGAAATTGATGCGTCAAAGGCGCTTGTTCAGAGTTGTTTGCTGTATGATTTTAAAGTGGGCCTGTCAGTAGCAGAATCAAGTCGGCAAATTTGCCAGGCCTTTGGAGATCGTGTCATTAGCGAATAAATCCTAGGCAGTGGTTCCAGAAGTTCAGGTGAGAGGATATATGTCTCTTAGTGACAAGCGCCGAACGATGAGGCTCTGAGAGCAGCCATCGAGAGTGACAGTGGCCAAACATGTGGTGAGCTTACTGCATACTTCCAAGTATCTAATGAAATGAACAGATGCAAACAAGCAACAGCATGTCACTGCCTGTTTGCCATTGCTTACTCGGCACCACAATGCATCCATATTTGATCGAGTTCTCACCAGAGATGAAAAGTGGGTCCTGTATGACACACCCAGGCATTCCAGACATTGGTTGTCACCACAGGACTCTGTGCCTCACACTGCAAGACTTTCTCTCCACCCACGCAAAATCATGTTCTGTATCTGGTGGACTAGCCGCCAAGTGGTGCATTAATGAGCTCTTGCCAGTGGACCAAACCATCACGGCAGGCCTGTACTCACAGCAGTTGGAACGTGTGCATCAAACACTGATACATAAAGACCCAGCATTGGCCAGTCATGATGGTATACTCCTCCTACATGACAATGCAAGGCCTCATTTGGTTCGAGAGGCCTTGGACACCATCCAGTGACTGGGCTGGGAGACACTACCCCATCCACCATACTCCCCAGATCTTGCACTAACAAACTACCACCTTTTCCATTACCCGCACAACTATCTTCATGAGAAATCCTTCAACAACCAGCCAGACTTCAAAAAAGGCCCTCATGGACTTCTTTGTGCCCAAGACTCCTGAGTTTTATTGCAACCGGCCAGACCTCAAAAAGGCCCTCACAGACTTCTGAGTTTTACCACAATGGTATCACACAGCTAGCCACTCGTGGGCAGAAGGCACAGGGTGCCGAGGGTGATTACTTTGAGGATTAGCAGTGATTATTATTTGTTTTATGGCATTTTCTTTCTGATTGTTCAAAACGGCAAGAACTTTTCCCTTTACCTTGTACATGCATACATGAACACATGCATCCATATATACATACATTTCTTTATTCAGTCCTGATAACAGAACAGTACTAAACATTTCACTTTCAAAGACTGCATCTGTTTGTTTTCAGAATCATGGAATTCTGTTTCTCGAGCTGCAATGGTAAATGACTGGTATAACGTATGGCCATCTTCTCTGTTTATTGAAACTGGGAGCGATGACAATGAATTTTCTGGTTTTAGAGTCAGTGAAGCAAAGGTAAAGCAAGATAATTGCTTCTCTATGTAAAAGAAAGAACAAATGAGAAGGTTTTGCAAGAAGATATTGTTAAATGGATGATCTGAATCCAGCCAACACTGGCATACCAGATGATCAGTGATAAAACTATTGTTATTCTGTTTTGAACTCGACACAGCAAGAAAACGATTCCAACAATGACACGGATAGAGAATTTTATAGGTGTGAGAAAATATCTTTTAATGAAGATTTGGAGCATTGTGAAAAATACCTAAAAATTTTAGAACAGCAGATAATGACTCTATGATTAAAATTTAAAAAAAAAAAAAAAAAAAAAAAAAAAACTTACTCTGGAGCACCCTAAAGTTTTAGTCTAAATATAATTTATCTTTTCTGACCTGAAATCTGCAAAATTCTAAAATTCGCACACCCTCTGTTCCTAAGCATTGTGGATTTCTTTCCTGCTGGTAGCATCATATTTATTGTTTGGTAGATTCCATAGACCTATGCTCAAACTATAAATTCTGGATGGGAAAAAAAGAAAACTCTGTTCTTAAAAGTGTTAAGTGTTTTGTTGGTTTACAAGTGTTTTGAAAACTTGCAACATGCACTTGCAGTAGCAATTAATTTGTGTTATGGTGCCAGGGTTTTGATGAATTTTGACATTTTTCTCCATGAACATGTAAATATAGACTTTTTACACTTTTTGCTAAAGTATTAACTTGTAAATTTTATTACTGTATAAAAAGTATAAATTTGTTTTCTGTGTGGATTGCAAATCAGTATTAGAATTTTTCTGTTTTAATTTACCTTAAGTATTTTGGAAAAACTAGATGTATAGATTTTATTAAATAATTTATAATTCACTAGTAATATTGTTTGAGTTGTGTTGCTTGCTGATAGGTGTTTTTTCCCCGTTTTCTAGAGAGAGTTTAGCTTTTGCAACTGAACCAGTTTTTGCAAGCTTGGCAAATATTTTAGGTTACCAAGAAAATATGCCAGTTCCTCCTCCAAAGTCCCTTAAAGATTTTGAGCTGTATGATGTTGAAATAAAATATGGATTTTTGCAGGTAAAATTTTAAATCCTTCCATCCCCCCTTTATGTGCCTTTTCTCTGAAAATAGTTGAAATTATACTAGATTAATATTTTGGTATGTTGTGTTAAGAGTTTAAGAACAAAGTGAATAAAGCAAAGAGAAAAATTTCTAAGCTAGAACTTTTAACCTTTTCACGACGGCGCACCTTTGTTTAAGATGCTCGTGCGGGATGGAAGGGAATCGAAGGCAGTCACCGTACAAAACGGAGGTTTTGCATCGCTAAGCTTAATTTTATAAAAAAAAAGATCAGAAAAAAAAAAATTTCACATCTAGCATCGTAATTTTTGGTATCATTTTAGATTATTACTAGAGCTTGTATATAGGTTAAATTAGCACTTAATAACGGTTTTCTCTTTATTTTACATGAAAATATACTTAAAAATTTCCTTATCATGTAAAATAATTTTTGGAAGCGCTATTCAAGTTATCCCAAAGTTTTAATTGATAAAATCCATCAATAAAGTTTAAAATTAATAAAACAACACAATAAAAACTATTTACAGTATCAAGTAACAAAATTTAAAATGAAGACTGTGGTAAATCTCGAAGCACGGAGAAGTATCACTTTCTAACTCTTTAGAAAAAGAACCATTACTCTCATCTGTGTTAGTATATGGTTCATTAACCATACAAGGGTATTTTTCCTCTAATAAATAGCGCCTTCCCGCCATAATAGACTGGAGGTGAAGCTTTCCGAAATAAAAAGAGAAGAAAAGGAAATATATCTGAATTCAGTGCAAAATTGACTGGGCTGTATAGTAACCCTAAAAGACCATACATATTAGAGGGGAAAAATAGAATAAAAAAAAAGGAATTGGATATAAATCAGACACGCGAATATTTAAATTAGCCTGCCGCGACTTACCTCTGTTTACGCCCTCCCCCATATCCTCGCTACAGTTGATGAGTAAAATGCCAAAGTCAGACAGAATATATCAAACTCAAGGTCAGGAACCTAAAACTGTGTTTATTGCAAAAGTAATGGACATAGAATGCCATCTAGTGGCCTTCAGAAAAGCGTTCCAGCTTAAAATGCGTATACGCATGACCCGTCCTCTAAATGCAACCTCTAGTGGTGCGTGGATGAGACGCCCGGCTATAAGAGATGTTCTTAGGGAATGCGTATATGGGACGCCCATCCTGAAAAGGTTAAAGACTGTTTATTGCAAGCATGTTAGTTTTAAAATTTTTTATAATGTTAGCATTAAAAGTTATGTAGTTAACTTCTGGCAGAAATGCTTTTCCTCCAGTAATTTAAAAACACATTCCTAATATTCATACAGTTATAAAAATTTATAATGTAGCTTAATATTAGTTCTGAAATTTGAGCTAAAATATATAATTTTATAGCTATTTATTGGCCATGGTCCCCAAATGAAAATATAAAAAAAAAAGTATTTATTTTTAAAATTTTACATAATACATTATTTCCTTCTCTTACTATCTGAGTGAAATAATTTATCTAAAATAATATGTGCCATTTATTTAATTTGAAAGATGACAAAAAATTGCAGCACTGGGTGGTAAATAAAATAATGTTCGGTACTTTCAAAAAGTCAAACAAATCTTCTTCCTCAAGTGCAAATGCAAAAATGAAAGGAGCAGAAACATGTTTAATTGCAAATGCATGAGTGCATTTCAAAAGAATGGCCAAATAAGATTTGCAGCCCATTTCCATTTATTTATTTTTCATCCGTTAGCCATCTACTGAAGGAAAAGCAAACAGAAAGTACCTGAAAGAAATGCAAAATTTATAGGCTTGTCTTGTTCGGTCAAAATGCATTAAGCTACAGTGGTAAGAGATACCACAGAAGATTTTGTGAAATATAGTTTTCAAGGATTAAACTACAGATTTTATTAGTTGGAAATTTTTTCCCAATGGTGGTCCCAAACCATCCACAAACATTGGCCAATACTAAGGCCAGAAGAGGTGGTCACCTTGTTATGGAGGCATCTAATAGGTGGGCCACCTTTGCCTCCTATGAGGGGAACAGACAGTTACAACTATGCCTTCTCTGGGTTTCGAGCTCAGGCCCTTTGTTATAACAGTTTGCTTCTCTAACCACTATACCGTCTGAGCAGCTTAGTAGGAAAGTAAAAGACACAAAAGTTAAACCTGTGTGAATTGCTTTGATTTTATCAAGTCTAATTGACAGAATCAATGCTATAGCTTCATCAGTTGATTTATAAAACAGATTTTTGTACATGACTAGTACTGTCTAATTATTTGCCCTTTAATCTTTCACCAGTAGTGATACATGCAAATGCATTAATCATTTTTGCTTAGCGAACAGATAAATATTTAGATTTTACATAAGGTAAAAACTTAGTGTTTGTTGTAGCAGTATATTAAATATTTTATGTAGCATAGCAATATAGATTTATAAATCTAAGTGAAGAATAAAATTGCCGGACTTAAGAAAAAGTGAAAATTTGTATTTTATGCATTTAGAGAAATTTTTATAATCATAAAGTTGTAGGATTCTCCATTGTGTATTTCTCAGTTGAAAGTGAAGAATCTGAAGAACTAGTAAGTGAATAATCGCTTAAGTTCGTGAGATAGAAAACAACAAGTAAGAAGGGTGAAATAACCCTTTAGTTTTCCAACTAAAGTTTAACAGAGCTCCGTCTTGGAATTATACAATAAAGTCGACACTTGGGCTTGAACTTAAGAGACTAAGAATTAAACTAAAGTAATCTTAATTAAAGAGATATAGCCGAGGCTAACTGTTAGTAAAATTAACATAATTCTTACAAAGTCATATATTTCAATTATGTAATATGTTTGCTACATAATTGAAATAAGTGAAGCATTTTAAGTAGTTATTTAAACACATTCAAAATTGTACTGGTGCATATTTAACTGAATTATTATAATTGAATATAATGCAGCCATTCTCCTTAAAGTCCTTAATAAACATATTTATTTCTTTGCTAAGAACCTTTTTGCAGGTGTATGTATTGCTTGATGAGAATTATAAAATGAGCAAAATATTGTTTTATGTCTGTAGTTGCAATCTTTATTCTTGACCTCATGAGTTTCAGCCTTTTTTAATTTTATTATGTTTTAATCTTTTCTTAAGCACTTATTTTGTTTATTTTGTCCCTTAGCTAACAGAAGGCTTAGCATTTTTACATAATGATGTGAAAATGATACATGGAAATATAAATCCAGAGTCAATATTAGTAAACAGAAATGGAGCTTGGAAACTTGCAGGTTTTGATTTCAGCACGCAGTTCTCAAATAGTACAGATTCTCAGGTCAGTTATTTAGTTTATTGAGATGTTAGGTATGTTTCTCAAGATGTTTATTATGCATTAAAAAGTTGATTATCCTTTTTTGTGTTTGTTTTAATACATTAAATATGAATGCAATTTGAATATATCAGATATAGCCCAAAAGGGTAATTTGCCCAGAAGGGCCATTAATTTCGTTTTGTGTTGATTCACTATAAATGGCGAATCACTTTTTAAATTGTTGCCACCAAATATTATATCCCTGTATTATATTTAAAGAAATTAAATAATGGAGAATCGGCATAAATGTATGTATGTTTTTCGCATTGTGATAAAACAATGGTACCCAGAGCTATCAAATTTTACCATATGTCTACCCGAATATGGGCATCTGGAATCCCAAATTTGGAATTTGTTTTATTATCTATTTTGCAAAGCATTTATGAGTTTTGGATTACGAAACTCGATGATTTCAAAGCGAGCAGTGGCAACACTGTACCAAAGAAAAAAAAAAAAAAAACAAATTTTTATCTTCAGCATTCAGCATGCGAGACTGTCTATCGGAAATTATAAAGATATGCTCTTTTTAATATTTTGTTATATTGCTGTTGAATTGAATTTTATGGTTTAAGTGTGAAAAACATGATATTTAATAAATAAAGGTAACCTACAAAACCTTTGGGCATAATATAAAATCTGAAAGCTTTCAGATTTTTTTTATTAGCTACTTAAATTATGTTTATTAAATTAATCAAATTCTTTTTTAATTATCTGCCAAAAATTTGCTATTTTTTTATTGTCGATTTGAAAAGAAACCACTGTGCATAATTATATTCCAAACATTTTTTTGCTGTTAAGGACAAGTTTGGCAAAAAATCTTTAACCCAAGTTAAGTTGTACGGCAATTATAGCATATAAATTGCTTGTGTAATCATATTTTATGTAATATTTATAAACAATTTATATGGCAGTAATGGTGTGATATACGTGAAAACATGATATGACACATAAGGGAACGTCGCAGGCATTGCATGCTCAATATCTGACCCACCAGAATATTCATATTCACTTTCAGAATCTGACGTTTTGAGCATATACAATAAGAGCGTAAAATATTGCTAGGGAATATACAAACAATGTGAATCAACTCTATTTGTATAAAGAAATACTTGCGTCTATTCATAACATAATATTCGTAGTTTAGGGGTAGCATCTATTGACCAGTAACTTAAGTATATAGCAAATATTAAATAATTGAAGAGTTGTGAGGAAAAAATTTATTGTTTTTCTAGCCTGTAACAAAGCACGGGACATTATTCTAGTTTAAAATGTTTTGTAGTGTGCTAGAAAATCCTGCAAATTATTTTTATATATACTTTATTATGCACAATAATTGTATATCTTTGCCTGGACATAAATGGGTTTGACAAGATTGAGACAGTTGAGTTATTCTTGAATAAAGGAAATTACATACATTATGTATAACAAATTAACTCTGTTTTTCTCTTTAAGCGATTAAATTAATTAATTATTTTAACATAGAAAATTCTATAAGAATTGTAACAGCCTTTTAAATTATTGCTGCTTATGGACAAAATATAAATATGCCTTCATTTAAATGTTACATTATGTATTTTTTTTTTACCTGATATATTTCCAGCTTTCCTTATCATTTCCGTAGTTCATCATATAAATATTTAGTTTTATCAATTAGATGGTTCTCACAATTTTTATAACTGTATTTACAATATAACAACACCGAAAACATAACATATTCTACTACATTGACTCTTCTGTTTCATTACCTACACTGCACCAGTGATTGTTTCTCTGTTTTTTTCCTCCCTCTCTGTCTAAAATGTTTTGTTGTGTGCTAGAACAACAAAACATTGTTGTTTTAGTGGTTATTCTTTTACATGGTTACTCTGTGGTTACTCTTTTACATCAAGACCCCTCACCTTAATCTGCTCTTTCATAAAAACCTAAGGGCAGTATATTTTCTGTACAATTTTTTTAAAGTACTGAATGGCAATAGCATACCTGATATCAATGCACTGTCTATTGTTTCGAATTTATCATTTTAGCAGCTACTTTAGTAAATCTTTTTTACTTTATTGAAACTTTGGTAGTGCTTGTCATTTACAATTTAAAAAAGTTATAAATTTCAATTCTTTTTTTACAGGGAGAACAGTTTAGTTTTGGAGAAATAGAGATTGAAATGCCTCCTCCCTGTCACCCTAACCTTGATTATGTAGCTCCTGAACGCATCCTAGGATGCTCAAACTGTGCAGCGAGTGATATGTTTTCTGTTGGAGCTCTTTTTTATGCTGTACACAACCAGGGAAAGTCTCTACTAATGAATTCTGGCTGCAGCTTATCAACTATTAAACAGAACTTCAACCATGTGAGCATTTCATTTTGATTCAAAATCTGAACTATTTTTCTATTAGTTTGTAGTGACTAACACATTTTATGTGTCATGCAAGTTAATATTCTATTTTACTAAATTCTAAATTCTGTTTTCACTAGGGAGGATGCAGTATTGTTTCATTGTCTGTTTTATATGCATATTTTAAAATTTATGAGCACAGTAATATGCTCATATATTTTAAATTGTTATATAAAATACCATGTTTTGCAAAAGTATCTGTACTTGGCTTTATTCCCCCCTATAAGGTGAACATTTGCATGTCCTCTTAATTTGTAGCTGTAGCAGGAAATGGCGATAGACAATTTCTGTTGAAAACTTATTTTGAAAGTGTACAGATAAGCAGAAGAATGTGTTTGTATGTATTCAGAGAAAGCAAAAGATTTTGTATCTCATTCATTCATAGCAATAATAGAAACACATGAAAATTTCCATTGAAAACCTATCTTGGAAGTTTACAGACATATCAAGGAATATCAGACTTGATATGTCTGACATTCCTTGATAGATAGATTCTATAGGTACAAATAAATGGGACACATGTGTCAAACGTGTGTCCCATTTATTTGTACCTATAATAGAAATGGAGACAGAAATTTTAGTCAAAAACCTATCCTTTACAGGTGCATCAGGGAACAGTCGCAATATTTGCACACATTCATGGAAAATTAACGATTGCATGCGCTATTCATTTATGGTTGCAGTGTAAAGGGAATAAAAACTTTCAATCGAAAACTTATCTTAAAAATTATCATTTACTTGTAGCTGTAGTAGAAATATGGTTAGAAATTTCCATTGGAAAACCTTTCTTGGAATTTTACAGACGCTTGCTTTACATGTCCCTTTCATTCACAACTATATAAATTATAAATGGAGTTTGCACCTTAGTTCTTTTCACAGTAATAGTTAGAAAGATTAAATATATCAGTTTTTCCACTGTATATAAATAAAGGCATGTTGATAAATGATATCTGTAATCAGTAAAATAAGGTCAGGAAGCAAGTCATGCCAAATTTAATGCTGTAAATAGATTTCTAAACAAACCTAACAATTTTGAATGATAATTGTAGGGATTTTAATTCTATCTCATTTAGTGTATTTGATGTTTTATATTTCTTAAGTAATTTCTTTGTTCCTTTTCTTTGATTTGTTTTATGTTTTATAAAGGATGATATGCATTTTAAATTTCTGTTACTTAAGCTCATTTACATAAAACCTTCACTGACAAATAGTTGAATTTTCAAAGTACTGTTTGCAATTTCTGTATCTAATGTATATGGTTTTATGCTAGGTTTTATTACTTCCTTGTATGACGTAAAGGAAGTATAATCATGAAAAATTCTGGGTGCCATATTTCAACGAAAATATCCATTTTGATCACTATTGAATGCAATTTAATGATGTTTTTGCATGACATCTGTACATAAGGAGAGAATAAAAGACTCTTTTTCCCCAAATGGAATTATAAAACTGATTTAAAATGGGTTCAGAAGATATTTTTTTGGTGGCGTCAGTATGTGCGTATGTATGTATCTCGCATAACTCAAAAACGAATAGCCTCGGAATGTTGAAATTTTGTATGTGAGACTGCTATAACGTGTAGATGTGCACTTCCCTTTTTGGTTGTTATTGGCTGCACATAAAGTGTATAAATATATGTATATACATATACACTTTATTACTCGGCTCATTGAGCTCAGTTTCTGTATTCTTATATGTTTGTAAATTGTGCAATTTTTGCTTTAAAGATTGAATTGTGTTGTTCTTATCTTCTGGTTAAGGTTTTTATGCCTTTAGTTAACCTGCATGTTATAGTTGTAGAATTATCAACAATTTAAAAGTTGTTCAAGTACGGCAAAGCCTAATTTTTTACCATAGCAGCCGTATTTATTTATATTCGAAACTTAGCAGAATAGTGGGTTTTTGCCAATCTAACTAAGCTTCGCAACAACAGAGTAATGTCTTCTTTCATTATTGGGAATTAAATTATGCTTAATTCATTCTGAAATTATTATTTCAGTTATTAAATTATCCGTTATATTGACTCAGCATAGCATCCACAGTAAAATTAAATCAGTTTCTAAAAAAAAAAAAAAAAAAAAAAAAAAAAAAAGGAAAAAAAAATTTTTTTAACTGTATTTAGTGTTTTATGTTTTTTCTATATCTTTCAATTTTTAATGAAGATATTTCAAGTTATTTTTGCCTTGCGATGAAGTGAGAACTGAATTAATTAAATGAGAAATATATCTCGAAATTCAAGGAAATAAGTGTTTCATATTAATAGAAAATACTGTTGCCAGTCTGTTTCAGACAGAGAAGAATGTTTACAAGTAGCACATGTGCATAGGTAAGCAGTGCTGAATCATCTGTGAAAAACTGTTTATTTTTTATTTGTTTAATTTCTTTTATACATCATTTTAGATTTATTATAGTATTTGAATAGAATATGTGGCAACAACGATTAGATAATTCTTCATATGATATAATTTTTGTGCATTATGAGTTATAAATTGAATGAGATGTAACGCTATTAAGTGAACCTAGTGCAAGATTATCGCTATGGTAAATAAATATAGTGAATTGTAAAACTGCATTTATACTATTGTTATTTATGTGCTATCGATGAAGTAGATTTAATTCAATTCAGTAAGTTAAAATGAAATGCAGGAAAATATAATTTAATATTTCTTACAAGGAAGTCAAGTGGTGTACACATCAGATTTTTTTTAATTTTTAAACTGTCATTTTAAAAATTAGATTAATTTCACAGGTAATTTTGTAATGTGGCAAAGATTAGATAATTCTTCAGGTGGTATAATTTTTCTGCATTCTGAGTTATAAAATGAATGAAATGTTACGCTGTTAAGTGAACCTAGCGCCAAACTATCGCTATGGTAAATAAATATAGTGAATTTTAAAAAGCACATTTATTCTATTGTGGTTTATGCTCTATCGATGAAGTAGATTTAACCCTCTGAGCGGCATGACTGGCTGTATCCCATTGTGAGATTTTTTGTTTCTCGATACATATTAGCTTATAAGTTGAGATATTTTGCTTTCTTATTTTCCTTAATAATGTAAATATAATCTTAATTAATGTAAGTTTATGAAAATAGAGGCTAAAATAAGTAATTATATAAATTTAGCTAATAAATGCTGCATAAACACAAGTCTTCATGACAGATCCAAAAACCCGTGCTGCTCAGAGGGTTAATTCATTTCAATAAGTTTAAATGAAATGCAGGAAAAAATGCATATAATTTAATATTCCATACAAGGAAGTCATGTGATGTACACATCAGATCTTTTTTATTAATGTTGATTTAGTGGAATTCAGAATTTTTCTTATCGTGTGCGTGTTTGACAGAGGTTACTCATCATTAAAAAATTCCATTTTAGATTTTTTGATACTTTATGCATATCACACTGTTAGGAAACCAGTCTTTGTAAAAAGACACTTTTATGCTAAGTGAATTAGGCTGATAGCTGTATATCTAGCTTTCTGTCAAGGGATTAATTATTTGTTTTCCTTAGACACTTTTATGCTAAGTGAATTAGGCTGATAACCGTATATCTAGCTTTCTGTCAAGGGATTAATTATTTGTTTTCCTGAATTAATGAAACTTTTGGTGGAGATCTGTTCTTCAAAAATTTACATTGGATGTCTGTGATATGATTTTTCCCTTTACATATTTAATTTTTTGGTTGCATTTTATGTATATTTCACTGAAATTAAAATCTGATTAGGAAAAAAAAAACCAAGCCGAATTTTTCAGGATGCTCATAATATAAGCTATATTCCAAAAATAAGATTTCTCAGAATGTACTCCCAGTTTCAAAACTTGTGTTTCTTGCCAGCAGATACTGCATCTTGTCTATCAAGTTGAACTGCCATGCAAGCATAACCAGTGATTCCTTGCTTTCTCTTCACCCTGCAGTTATCACTTTCTTTCTATTCAGAGGTTCTTGATGTATGGCAGTGCTTAGAAGCATTTAGCGAATTATTTTATTACTCTCTGTGAACAAAATGTGTCGATCCCAAAGGGAAGATTTTGAATGAGAAAACCTTGAAAAATGGGATATAGAAGATGAACTTCCACCTCCTCTCAGCTGGTATTCGAGAAGACACCTTCATTCCTTTACAGTGCCTGTACTCTACTTCTTAAAATAAGGAAATTCTGCCTCTATGAAATCCGGTGTGGACAAAGAACTCTGAAAACAATATCTCATAAGTACGGAGACTAGGGTTAGGAAAAATTCAATCAAACCTGTTTTATTAAAGAATGACATACCTTAAAAATAAAGCCACAGTCCACAATACATTAAATAGGTGAACTATGAAAAGCTTTGATAGGTACAAATAGAATATTCTGGCAGTGCAGAATCAGTCTTTTGCCACTAAACAGTATGTTTTCTGTTGTTTAGTATATACAGTCAAATACCAAAAATGTCCAACTCCTGAATTCCACATTACCTCTCGAAATATAAACATTCAATTTATAGGTTCCAGAAATCGCAGCATGAAGAATGAAATACTGAAAAAAATATACTTGCCAAATAATGATTTCATAATTACCGAATAATAATGAGCGGTAATGGAAATACCAAATTATTATGAGCGGTAATGGAAATACGAAATTATTATGAGCGGTAACGGAAATACCAAATTATTGATGAGTCCCCCCCATTCCAATCTGCATCAATGTAAAGAAGTAGACAGTTCACTCAACGTTTTTTTTTAAGTTCACGATTTGCATTGCTGTATTTTCTGAGCTTTGTTATTTCACAAAATTGTCTATTGCTGCCTTTTCTTTATCCGGATATTTTGTGGTTAAATTTAAAATATTTTCTTTTTAATACAATGACAAATAAGAAATGCATTCATGATTTGCTTGCAGTGTTGAAAAACGTAAGCGCATTGCATTGATGGGAAACATATAAGCAAAGTGTACACTGTTAGGACAATGGCTTGAATT